TTTGAATATATTCATTTGATATGGTAACAGTAAGCCTTAATTCAACACCTCTCAAAATATAATAGTTTCCTTGGACAATGAGATCATTCACATCTGAAAAATGGCTGGTACCACAATAACCACAATAATGATTTATATGAGTGGTCGGTGAAGTTCGATTCCCGATCTTCTCCAGATCTTCCATTATTTTCAAAGCATTTTTTTCCTCTCTCATGCTTGATACACATTATTACATATACTGTACACAAATGAAATACCAAATCTAGTTAATGAAGATATTGTATTATAAGCTGATGATATATCGTAGAAGAAAAGAACTCTCAGTTGGTCATGACAAAGACAACAAATGTGCTAGACGTATTAAACAATTTTTCGCAGCAAATTTAATATTGTCAAAACTCAAATATTTCATTTCGCAAATAGATCCTTGCCAGAGTTGCCTTTGAATATAATAGGTAATAAAAATATAAACATATGCAATCAGGTAAACTTTTTGGGACTGTTGATAGATAGGAGACTGGACTGGAAAAATCACATAGACTACTTATCAAAAAATATTGAAAAATATTGCTATGCATTTAGATTACTGTCGGAACATGTCTCAACCGAGAGCTGCCCTCTCTGCATACCACGCTTATATTCAATCTAGGATAAAATATGGAATTATATTCTGGGGAAACTCTGTTGATATCTCTAGGATACTCATACTACAAAAAAAATGTATCAGGTATATCTATGAGATAAAAAAAAACGATAGCTGCAGAGAAGCTTTTATTAGGAGCAAAATTTTAACTTTGATAAATCTCTATATATATGAAGAAGTAGTATTTGTAACAGAAAATAAATCAGAACTTTTCATTAACTGTAAAAAGGATCACGTATACAACACCACAACAAAGAATGATCTTAGAAATGAGAAATGCAACTATACATACATACAGAGAAATGTCGAATATAGCGTTATAAATATTTACAATATATTTCCACTCTCTCTAATAAATTTTTCAAGTTCAATAACGAAATGTCGTTTGAAGAACTGCCTCGTAGAAAAACCTCATTATAGCTTGCAAGAATTCTTAAATGAAAGTTTGCTAACTATATGAATGTTATTTATATATACTCGATTTTATATATTTTTTTGTCTTAAAACTACTTCTGTTTAAAAAAAACCTGTTTAAAATCTGTTTTCGTTAATCAGCTGTTGCCCCCATACGAACGACAACTCTCAGAAGTTGAGAAACTTGTGAGAGTTACATAATCAATATTATCACTTGTGTGATAATATTGATTATGTATGTGAAACTTTGATTTGTTATTCAGTTTTTATTCATTACTGACATGTTCCACACTCCTTGGAGTTTATATATGTACATTATATGTAACCGGAGCAAATAAAGATCCATCTATCTATCTATCTATCTATAATATCATATAATCCCATTGTTCGACCAGACTGCTTCTTTTCCAAATTGGGTCTAAGCCTTTACCATCAGTTCAAAGCGCTGCAGAAAATTAAATTTAGATTCGTCATATTATTGAATTTTATTATAATTGGACGGGCTTTTGAAGCTTCATCCCTGATAACGCCGACTCTATAATAATTTTAGAATCTAGTAACATTTGCAGCCTGCCTATCTTTGAATACCTTTGAATTTCACAAATTTTTTACCCGAGTTCTCGTTTTTGGTGTCTCTTAATTAGTTGTTATTGATAAAGTTCAACTAGCGATGGCTATTAATTCCACATATACATCTGATATTTAATCAATATTAATCAATCAATAATTAATGTATCTATGAATATGAAAATATTTTCATTTACCTAATACCTACTTCTGCAGCTTCATTTTCATTTAAATTTGAGTTTTTTGAAGCTAATAACTGCGTTTCAGTGATGTAGTATTTTAATCCATCAGTGAAAAATACAAGTTCATACAGTAACCACGTAGTAATATCGATTAAAGGCAGGGTTTCTATTTCAGATTGTAAGTAAATAATAGAAAAACAATAATTTATTCAGTAGCGGACTTCATAATGATGGGAAAGGCACGCTTTTCCCAACGATAACATCTGTTCTGGTCTGTGTAATTTTATGAGAGGGGTGTCTTACCCCTCATCATCTATTACGGCTCAAGCATGTCATTAATAGAATAATGCGACTAGTAATAATTGTACTCAGTTTATCTTTGAGCAATTTCACTACTTTTTCACTCGAGTTCTCGTTTTTTGTGTCTACGATTCCAAATATCTCCAACTCATACAGTTGTGGAATTTTGTTCTAACTCGGAGAGTTGGAATTTTTTGCTTGCGTTCGGTATGTTCATTCTCAACACATGCTAATACCCGCATAATTGATTCCACATCTTCATCGGGTTTCGCTATCGTTTGTACTTCACTGGTTATTTTTTTACCTTATTTAATTTCCAGAAGTTCAGTATTTTATGAGCATGACTAATTCATTAATACCTTATCGTCCAAGAATTCCTTTGCCACTTCATTTGCAAAGCATTTCATTTTATCTATTTCTTATCTCGTAATTATTGTAAAAGAAATAGAAATAGATTCGCATATTATGCGTGAAATTTGAAGAATGGAAACACATATACAACTGTTTCCTGCTGATGAATCACAGTTCAATATTTTACAGAGAAATTCGCACTAGAACAGTTTGAATTTCAAAATTTACGCCAGCGGCTAATTCACATCTATACATAGAAAAACGGTACATTTCATTTATATTATATTTTTGAAATTTGTAAATATATTCGATTTCTGATATTTGTTGATATTCTGAAAAGTTTTTTTATATTTTATGGAGAATATATGTTCTTTTTTAAACTATTTGTAATGCCATAGTTCCAAGATAATGTCATTTTAACACACCGTGCTCAGCGCTTCCAATGAAATGTTTTACCCCTTTTCAATAGATTAATTTCACGCCAAAGGTCCTAATCCTACTTATCACGAAATGTTTCAATCATTGGAGAATGCAACTTATATTACTTAGTTCTTTCAGAGACGACAGATGGCTCTGTGAGTACGAATTTGAGTATAATTTCAAATATTCCGTTACGTGAATATACAAACTCCTCCACATTTTAATATATCCTTTGAAATGAGTAAAGCAAAATATTTAATTTGTATTGATATCACGTTGTAGCTAGTTAAGCTAGTTTACCGCAAAAAAATAAACATTTTTAAGCTTCTTCACCTAGTTTGAAAATAATTGTTGTGGTTAATTCTGACTGAAAATGAATATTTGTAAAAAGCATTTGGGGAGATTGAATTATTCTCAAATGCATTGAATACATTCAGAATTAACATGTATTTTTTAATAAACAGTGGAGTATAGAGGTATATTTTTAGAAGGGATCAATTTTTAGGAAAGAAAACGTAGGAATTTCTACTTCTCCGTCTGATGTCTGATTCAATTCTACAAAGAATGTTCAGAGTATGAGCTGGATTGGAAAAGGCGTTTTTTATATAGTTCAGGGTTCATATAAAAGTAGTTGTTTCGAAAGTATTTTTTCTTTCGTGTTATTCAATATTTATATGAGAGTAGTTAGTTGTTTTAAAAGGAGTTTTTTCCCAGTTTGTGTCTGAAAGTAACTTCTATCCAGGATTTTAAAATTGATTTCTTTCTTCCTTTGGAAGTTTCCTACATTTTTTTGTATAAAGATGAGGAAGTAGAAAGCCAAAAGTTTTATTTCCCAAAAATGTATTATACATATACACTTTTGAAATAATTAGAATAATGAAAGTATTTTCATGAGCAAGTGGATGAAAAAAAACCTAACAAGTGTTCTAAGTTTTCTCCGTAATAATTTTGGAAACATACATTTTCGAAAGAAAATTGACTCCGTATATATACACATGAATGGATTGATCAGACATATATGAAATAATCACACAATTAAAAAAACACATTTGAATGTAGATAATGACATTTTTGAATTTTTATTGTTCCACGATCGATCTTATTCGTCCATATTGATCACATTGACATCATTACACCCCGATATTGTTGGACCTTGAAGAATAATCAACAATAATCGCTGAGACGTTGGTTTTTAAACAATCAGAGCAGTGTTTTCTCTGTCTAATTGTTCATGAAAATATCATCTAAAATACTTCTGGATGTGTGGAATTGTAGGTAACCAACATAACATTTCAAATTGAATATACAAACCAGTTTTTGGGAAAATTCCTCTTTGGTTTTTTGTCCTCCATTAAATGATACATACTAATAAAACCCTTTACTGATATTTCATATATACTTATATATTTTTTAGTGTGCTCTATGTGTTTTGCAATTTATGGAGTTTTACTACCTAAAATGAAAAATTAAATCAAATACTAGAAAAATTCATTAGCTTAGTTGACTTTCATATTTAATTTATATTAGATTTTTTTTTTTATTTTGACAAGAATGTCCACAAATAATATTCAGACAAGATTTATGGCTTGTAAAGAGTTTGTATTGATATTTTCAATTGTTTTCTTAATTTTTGGCTGTTTTTTTTCTATGCTCGTATATTTAAATGAAGTTAAAAAGTTTTTTTTTTAAAGTTAATCTCTCCTAAATACAGTTGCTTTTCAAAAAATCTTATAACAAGACATACATGTGTAACCTGCACAAAAAATGGTAGCTGTAAATAAGATACATCTTTTTTAGATGAATGTGCGTGAAAAAATAATTTCTCGCCTTTTGAATATTGTTTGTATATTTATGACTGGTGATAACGATTGTTTAGTTGGATATAAACATTTCATGGAATTGAATATTTGTTATCGTTAGAAGAAATTTGTTGTGCTGTAACTGGAGTTAATGATTTGTTTTTCCAATTCCAAAACTTATCGTAATTTTTATCTTTTTTTAGTTCACTTCTAAAAAGTTGTTTCATGTTTGTGTGAGACATTACTCAAAATGTTCATTCATTTGTTTGAATTAGAGTAATCTAAATGTTTCACCTGAAAATAAATAGAAAAGAAAACAAAATATATAATAGTAACAATTCATATTTATTCAAATGTATTTTCAGTATCAAATACAGAAATGGTATCACAGTATCGCTTGCAATACACACATAAAAAACTATAAAGGCTTCGTAACATTTTTGATTTAGATCATTTAAATTGCCTCTTAAAATCACAGGTACCGATAAATAATATCACATAAAAAGTAAATCTATTTCAAACCTAACGTTAAATTTAAAGCTTCAAGATTAAAAACTAATATTTCTCTATACTATACCTAAGTTAAAGCGATTGAGCAACAATTTGTAACGAAAGACACATTGTGAGATTTGAATTTTTAGGAAAAAAATCACCAGGGCCTCCAGACCTCTTCTTTCTGCGCGACTTTCAGAAGTCCCGCCGTGGAACAATCCATGGGTTGGTTGGGCGACGGCGAACACCTGGAGGAGTTCGACGACGCCGGCGTCAAAGGCATCGTGTAGGGGTGCTCCAGGTTAGGAGACACGGGGGGAGTGTACGGCGAAGACACTTGGATCACTAGCGGCGACACTTTGTCCATTTCGTTCAGCCTGTGTCCTAGGTGGGTCATCAGTTTGGTTCCCAGTTGGATGTCGACCCCAGGAGTTCCCGCCAGGCACCTGGACACCTCGTTGGCACAGTGGGTGTAACCAGCCCTGAAGCGGTCAGCGTCGATGACGGGGTTGGTGGACAATCTCTGTTGCCTTCGAAGTTTGTGGAGGTGACGCACTGTTAATTCCAGAATGTCGGCTTTTTCTAATTTCGACACATTTTCTCCTTCACTCTGTAGGGCTGTGACCATAAGTTCTTTGAGTTCGTCGAGGCAGCGGTTTATTCTAGCCCTCCTTTTCCTCTCCAGCATCGGTTTCATGACCTTTCGGTACTGATAAGTTCTTGAGATAGGTTGCGGTTCTTCGACGGTGGAAGACAACATTTCGTACGACATTTCCGACGACACTCGTAACACTGGTGTGCGCGTAGTGAACGTATCGAGAGTTAAACTCTGAATGACTGTGGAAATGGTAGGGGATGGGCTTTTATAACGGACCCAGGTGTGGAGCCGAGCGAGTTAACAGGCCCATGTTGGATCTTGGATCGTGGGAATCTCAGAGGCTATGGTGTTCCCACACTTTAGCCACCTGTGATCGGACGAGCGCGTGCAGCTGCTTTGGTTCTGTCTCCCTCTAAGGACGGCTTTTTCTTCTCTGCCGATATTTCGACATGGGCGTAGGTTGGGATTTCTGTGGATTACGAGCTAGCCGATTAATCGTGGGCTTGAGCGTGGAATTTCCTGATTTGTGGGTTTGTTTTGTTTGAGTGGTATCGGCACGTCGAATTATTATCGAAAGTTGGGTTTTGTGCGATATTAAATAGTTATGAAATGAAATAAAAAATTCAATCCGTTACACTTATTCAGGCATGACTGGATTTTCAAACTTTTCGCTCATGCAGACCGAGGTTTTTATTTCAAAAGTCGTTCACGGATTGGTTATATTTTGGGCTTCTATATAAATTACTTTGAGTGCAGGATTAGATTGAAATGCTTAATTTCAATATAATTGAATGTACAACAATTAAACTTCCATTCGTATATTGAATCTTGAACTTTCAGCACTTCAAAACAAATCATCAAGATATCAAATAAATGTTTATATATACCTAGAAGAGTTTATGCATATAGAAGACATTGAATGTGATAATATGTTTTCTCCTTGGTTTTTCGTTTTTTTTGTTTCATATGTATATATATGAATGATTGATTCATTTTGTACTCTTACTTATATTGTTTCTTATAATTATTATTTAACCTTTTAATTCCTCGCCTTCTTCTTCTATTTCCTTCTTTCATTCAATATCTGCTCTTGTTTTATGCCGTGTTATGTAATCTTTTCGTTATTTATCTTTTTGTTTTTGATATGTTTCCCTTCAATAATTCATTACCACTCCTTGCTAGGATATAGTATTGCTGATTTTGTAATGATTTTGTAAACTTATTTCCATTTACTTATGTAATATATGTTATTTACATTATTATTATTATACAATTTTGGTATTCAATTTTTATTAAAAACTTATTGATTTATTTGCCTCATTTTTCAATTCTGTAGCTATCTTTCTCTAATATTGATAACAACAGTTACGTAATATTCTTGTTGAATTTTTTCATTACTACTATTTGTAGTTAAATGAATGTCCTGGATGTATTTACCGTATCAATGTTCCCACTTCTTACACAGGAATAAATAACAGTTATTTATTATCTATCTAAATAGGCCAGTTTTAATTGTGTCAACTTTTCATTTTAGGTACCTCAAATATAGAACAAAACATGAAACGTATGGTTGTTCAAATAATTGTGGTGCAACTGATTTTAGTTAAATGTCAGTATGAATGTGAACAAATATAGTTCATAACAAGTATAGAGCGGAGAACATCGTTAAGTTGAATTTTCGACAATTGAATGTGTTATGGGACGTGGGACTTCTCTTAGTAGTACAGTCAAAAATACAGAGTGTTCAAATTACTGAGAGAATGGTTTGAATTTTGCATGTTAATTTTACCAAAAATAAAATCGTTTTTGGTTAAAAAAATTCGAACTCAGATAGTAACTTATCCACTCTTCTCGTGGATATTTCCTTTTATTGATTTTCAAGAACATACCTTATCGTGAAAATTGGTACCTTTATGATTTTCGTGCTGTGTTTGCCCTTTCCTACGCCTATGACGGATCTATGGAGACCTGTTAAATGGAATTGTGCCCTTCCTTTGGCATAACTACACTATCTCCATCCTTCTTCGAGCTCGTGCTGGTAACGTGCCCGAGAATTTTTGTGATTTTGTCGTCCTTCCTGCCGCAGGATAATGAATTTAGTCTTTGTTTACCGCTATTTAGGGTGGCGGAGGTGCCGTTAAGTAGCCCCTTTTGACTTTGTATACACCCTTTAGGTCATTTGTGCATCGTTGTTGTTCGAACGGTGAACAGATATGATAGGGAGGAACAGTTTGTTTTTATCGGTTTACGTTTTGCCGGTTTTGATTCGTCTGTAAAAAAGGTTTTGATGACTTGAATCTTAAATATTTTAGCAGTGTTTTTCACATTGTGCCTGTATTTTTATTAATCCAATATACAGTGCGGACGTAAGTAGGTAGTCCTCCTCTCTTAACTATTGAACGGGGCAAGATATCAAAGTTGGACAAAATTTGTATGAAAAGGAATCATTTTTAGTGGTTTTTGATATCACTTGTTGCCGAGAGGGGGTTACAAAACTTTTTTTTTAATGTAAAGGAGGGTCTTGTGATATTTTGAATGAAAGGTATTTCAATTCTCTCTATAATGGTCTTCACTATTTTTAATTTAGATAACCGATTACGGAGTTATTGATGTTGTGAATTGGGACTAGGAATTCCGCCACTCTGTATCGGATTTCTTAAAATAGATTGGAAAGAGAAATAAATCAGTAACATCATTTGCATTTCAAAAGCATAAAACCAAAACAGTTTATTTCAACCTAGTCTTTATTTATCTTATACCAACATGTAAAAATCATTTGAGCAAATCTTCAAAATGTTTTCTCAGAACCTCCTAACTGTAAAACAATCTATTTTCGAACTCATGAGACTGATGAGACCTATGGCGGGTCGAAATTGGTGTTGAATCATGAACGTCCATTGAGTCCATTGAGTCCCTTGTTAGCTGAAATTCTCATGGACCACCTAGAGAATAAAATCTATACCAATCGGCTTATTAACAATTATTTCATACTGGAACGAATATGTAGATATTTTACTGGTACTGGTACTGATACACTTCGACTAAATTCACAATTGAGTGAATAATTCAATAAATTTTCAAGACTTGACCATCACTAGAATTAATAATAAACATGATTTCGCAATTTTCCATCTTGCACGGACATCATTATACACAAATCATCTATACATCCATATCAATGTGAAGTAGGAGTATTCAATAGTAGGATTCACAGGCTAGTGAATATTCCACTTTCTGAGAGCATTTTTCAAAGAGAACTGATTTTCATAAAACATATTGCTGTCAGTAACGGTTACGAGATGGATATTATTGACTCAACTATTTCTAGAAAATTGCAGAAACAAACTCTGAACCAGGTTTTAAAGAATGATAGTGAAAATTATGTAACTCTAACCTACTTTGGTGATCCTACTAATAGATGATATTGGCTCGTTTTTTGAAAGGTATAGAATTGGACGTAGCCTACAGAACAAATAATAATTTGAGTAAATTCATCAAAAACAGTAAAGATAAAATCCAGTGACAGATAGATCGGAAATATACAAATTGACTTGTGGCTCTTGTTCAAAAATTTATATCGGATAAACCAGAAGAACTTTTTTCAAAAGAATAAAAGAAAATAGAAGCAGTTTTTTGAGTGGAAAGACCAATTATACATTTCGAATGATCTTTTGACAGAGGGGTACGAGTTTAATCATGATTATGACATTTGGAAGATAGATTCAAAATTCAACCTTTTGGAATGTTTCGAAATCAAGAGATGTAAAAAGAAATGTGAGCCGTCACGGGACGCCTGGCAAATGTGAAACATCAATAATATAATTTTGTGACATCTGTGATGATTGTTGTGTACTGAAATATTTATAAAAAATATCTAATTGAAATATACTTCTTTTGCAGTGGCGTATGAAAATTATACTATGATTTATGTATGTATGATTCAAATAGAAGATGAAAAAATATATAGAATCACAACTTGACAACAATATTTTCCTTTCAATGCAATAATATTTCTGAGAATATAGTTGTTGCATTCTTAAATTATAAACATAAATAATGAATCTTTCAATATAAATTCCACGATCATTCGGAAATTAATTGAATAATTAATTTCTTTACGTTCCAAATTTGAGTAAACAGTATTGTGATGCCAGAAGATGCTTTTGTATAGCGAAACACGTGTCGGTATTTTGTAAGCTTTCAAGTGGAAATCCCACATTAAAGTGTGTTTTTGAATACGTTATCATGAATGTGTTGTGTTTGGGCTCGGATTTTCTGCTTGTTGCCTCGCAGTGAGAGCTGCTGTGTATGACATAGGACAAATTTTGTCCTTGCGTCGATGTCGAAGGTTATATTTGATATTCAGGGATTTGGTTCTATGTGTATCCGATAGATGGCGTATTCGTTAGGGGAGATGTCATAGCCTTTCTTCAGGTATCTATTCTGTCTGGTGTTACATTGTGTTTTGGCTCTAGTTTTCACTGTAAAAAAGGTGTTGAAAGATTTGAAATCTATGGGAAACAGCAAATGAAATGAAAATGAATAAAACGTAAAAATTATTGACTAGATGAAAATTATCAGATCGATGCATTTCAGGTCACAATAATTTGTTTGCTTTACAAATTAGCGTTCTTACATTTTTTGAATTTTTATACTCATTGCTCATTCATATTCACTATTATTTTTCTGTTTTCAACTCTATAATCCGGAAATTTCGTTTTGGTAACTTTTAATATTTTCAATAGTTTCGAAATTTTATTAATTTTCACCTTGTTCGTTCTTCCATAGATTCGAAATCTTTCAACTAATTTTTCAAACAGTCGAAGTCCGAATTTTATTTTCTCACTCAAGATATTTTTGTACCCAAAAGAAATGAATTTATAAGGCTGTCGATGATTGAAGTGATGATTATTTCTGAAGATAAATCGTTTTCAAAAATATTCATTAATTATTTATTATTCCAAAATGACCAAATTAATATTCATTTATTGGTATAGAAATAGTCAATAGGTTAAAAAAACCGGGCACAATTGGAGCCTCAAAACTGGAGTCCAACCAGTTTGGCTTGCTGATTTGGAATGAAAAAAACTTACCTAACAAGCCGATAAAAAGTAATAGTTTTCGTTCTGAGAACTCTTGTATAACAATATACTTGATTTTATTAAGTCGATGATTGAAAATTCTGAAGAAGTGTTGCCATAAGGTAAATAAACTTTGAAGAGTTGTATAATTTCCTCCTCGAAGTTGGAATGCAAGATTATCTTGTGTGAGGAATCATACATAATTGTCTGTGCCCGATGTAATTCAATGTTCGTAGTAGTATTAACCAAGAAAGCAGTTGTTTCAAGCTCGGATTTCTAGAA